TCACATTCTTAAAAATACAGTTTGCATTCAGATCAAACCGCTTGGGCCCGAGCTGACGGTGAATTTTATCTCCCCTCCCCCCACAACCGCCTTCCCTTCCTTTTCTGCCCCCCCAAAAATTCCCCTTTCTCAGCCAACATAAAGGCCTCTGAGGTATTCTCCCGGGGAAAGAAATGGCATTTTCTCTCCCCCTCCCCCCCCCCCTCAGTAGGACTTGTGTGTCGGCAGAGGCGTCTGACGAGGGGCTAATTTCGCGTTCCTTGTTTACGATCGAGAAAAACGCTTGGCTCTCCCCAAATGGGCCCAGCCCGCCGCCTGCTCCGGCTGCCGCGCGCTCTCCCGCCGCTCAGGCACGGCCCGGGGGCTGATGCCCCGGAGATCCAGCCTGCGGCAGGCGGGAACTCGAAGTCTGTGGGACCCGAAAAGGGCAAAGGGAGTGCAGTGGGACACTGGAGGGGCCCGAGAGGCCCGAAAAAGGGAGCTTTTCTCCTGGCGTAATGTGGGAATCGCCTACCGGTGAGGCCTCTATTTCTCTCTTTCGCCTGTATTTTGTCTGCCCCCGCCCCTGTGGATGGCCGCTGATGGGGGTGGGGTGGGGGTGGGAACACAAGTGTCCTTTGTCCGTCCCCGAAAGAAAACCTTTTCCAGAGAAGGCCATTCAGGCCAGTGGAGATTCACCTGGAATATTAGAAGGGCCCCCTCCCACCCGAGAGGCGGGCCTGGGCGAGGCTAGGGTGTTTATCTCAATCCTGGAACGACCTGAGTGTGTCCACAGTGAGATTTGGGGGTGCTAGAGTTCGAGGTTGGCCGCTTAACAGCACCATCCTGAGGTGTCTTTATATAATATTTTAATTGATTTTCTGTTCCTTCCTGGCTAGAGCCCTGCAGCTCCCCCACCCCCATCCTATGCCCCTCACCCCTAGACCCATCCTCACAAGACAGAGGCAAGGAGAGAAGGCAGAGCAGCAGCGACCGGCCCTCTGTTTTCATTTTCCACCCTGGCCAGGGGATAAACTGGACCCCAGTGGACTCCAACACCAACTCTCTGCTTCCCAGTTACTTTCGATTTTCTTTCCCTTCTCCTTCTTTCTCTCCTTCTCTGGCATTCAAACAGAAGCACAAGAGGATCCACCAGCGGCAACTCTCAGCCTCCTTGCAGGCCACATTCCCTGCTGACGTGGTCCTTACTGCAGGATAGCCCTTCCGTGATTATCTAATAATAGCCAGGGTGGCTGAGAATAGAATCTGGCTCAAGGACTCTGCACACCCCAGGCAGAGACACTGAATCTGTGGGTCAGGGCCTGGCAACATTCCTTGAAGCCTCCGGCTCTGAGCCCACTCTTTGGGCACCCTTAGGCCTGCCTGCTCTCCTTACAAGGGGCTTTGTCAGCCCTGCCGTCCGCTGTATTTCACCTGCGGGTTCCTAGCTAAGGAGAAATGGGCAGAGCAAACCCTTTCTCTCCCTGGTCTGACAGTTGTGATCCCGACAGAATGCAACCTTGTTTAGAGAAGGCTACCTTGTTGGGTTGGCTGTTGTGTTCTGAAACCAGGCTTGGGAGTGTTATGTATTTATTATATACAGGCTCAAATGTACAGACTCAGGCTTATGCATGAATATATACAGACTCATATTTCCTTGGTGGTTAATTGTATATTACCATGCCTATATTCGCTCAAACACCATTTTATGTGCATGCAAAATTTTGTTAACCCTCACTAGATGAGAATGAGCTCATGGAGGCACCGGGTGCACTGAGCAGGCCCTCTGTGCATGCTCTGCTGGAAATATGTGTGCACTGGAATCGGAGTATGCAGGTTCCAGTAACCAATGGATGCCATAAAGGCTTTCTCAGACTTTATTGCTTTTGTTGCCTAAGCAGCTGGACTGGGGAAATACTAAATCCCTTCTGCTTTCTCTCCACACCTTCTAGCAAACTCTCCCAACTTACGAAGTATTTTACAAGGGAGACCAGTTGTCTTGAAATTGAGTTCTGCGGGACTCTTTTCACGGGTGTGGTGGGTCTGCAAGCAGTTCTGAGTAGACAGGGACCTGGCACTGGAAGCCTCCCTGGGGCGATGAAGGGATAAGAGTGGTTAATAAGGTGGCCTCTAGACAGTGGTCTGGGGCGGCTGCTGGCCAGGGTGCTTGGAGAAGCTGGTGGAAAAGGCAAACCAGAAGGGGTAGGGATGCAGTGAATATGTTTCTCCCCCTGCTTGCCCCAGCCGGCCACTCACCCCACCCCAGCCCGATTTGCCTGCATCCATGGTGGCGGATTGGGAGTTCTCCAAGGTCCCCCAAATACCCAGATCTGGTTGCTGGATGAACTGCATTTTAATCCTCGTCAATATCTGAGCCAGGGCGAGACCTGGTCAGGGAGAAGGCTGGTCCGAGCAGCATGGGAGAGGACGCTGGGACCGCCGCCTGTGGCCTAGAGCACTGAGTATGGGCTACCGAGGCTGAGAATTAATGGGCCTTCTTTCCCAGCCTTTTTCCCTTCCAGAGACACAAAAAGACAGAGCAGAGGGGAAATATCAATGTCAGTGGAAAATCCCAAAAAAGAAAGCAGGGACCAGAGTGGGGCTGGAGGGGTTTTCCACCACTCTCTAGGTGATCGGGTTCCTCCCAAGACTCTTGTCCAGACAGGCTGCACCAAGAGATGTGCAGCTTTCTTCCACCCTTCACGGAGGGCAGCCTTAGGCTTTCTGGGCCTTGCTTACCCCGGGCACTGGGGTGACATTACCTCAGGATTGTGCCCCTCGCCCAGCCCATGGCCTCTGCCATGGTGCCGCTGCCGCTCCTGTTTATTGTGTCTGTGAGTTGTTTACTTGTTTTGTCTGCTGCCACCCTGCGTCAGAAACCCGCCAAACCAGCGAACTCGCCCAGGAGAACAAAGTACAGTGCTATCCCCGAGCTCCCTCCCCTTTCCAGCAACCCCCTCCTGCCCTTACAAGCTCCTGCATTCTCCCTTTCTGAGGGGAAGAAGCAGAAATAGTCTTAAAACAGGGCAGCTGTTTATAGGGTCAAGGGAATTATGGGGACACCATAAACCTCCGGGTGTCCCTGTGGTGGAGAGACTTCTGAGCAGCCCGTCCCTTGCCTAGGCTTTTCTTCCTTTCCCTGGTAATCACTTGGTTAAGGGGGCCACACTCACTGAGAAAGTTGAGCCCACCCCCGTCAACCCAGTCCCCCACTACCCCACTTCTTTTTGCAGGAGTTTCCCTGAGACCGGGTTGTTGGGTTTTAAATCAGAGTAATGCTAGTGGATTCATAAAGCTAGATATAGCATGTCATTCTCCTCCCACACTCCCTTCTCCTCAGCCACCCAAAATTGCAGTGAATTTAAGCAAATCCTACAAAATTAAATTGCCCTTTTGCTAAAGATCCTATATGTTTCCAATCTCGCCAGGTGTAGAGTCAGATAGTTGGCTTTTGGCCTTTAATTTTGCTCCTGGCTATTAAATTTAAAAGAGTATCATTCAAGTAAGTAATATTCTCATTTCTAAAATTAATTTTCCCTTCCCAGTCTCTCTCTGTCTCTCTTTTTGCCAGCACAGATTAAATGGTTCTTTCAGATCTGCAAACAATAAAGGATAAAATTATTTATAGGGAAATGAGGATGCTGTTTTATTGTTGGCTTATTGTTCCAGAACATAACAACATTTTATTTTCAAGCAGGAGAAGCTAGACCAGGGGGAGAAAAAGGGGGAAAGGAAAAAAACATGAAGGGAGGGCGGGAACCCACACACAAAACTCCTGCCATGTATAACTGGTAGGACATTTACAATTTCTATATGACAACTCACTGTGACGTCATAAATACCGAGTTCTTGAATTTTATAATTCTCATGAACCTCTCAAATAGGTCCAAGCAATGCTTCATGTGGAGGGGTATAGAAGAAGCCAGGAGGCTGGGGATCCCTTGACCCAGTGCAGAGCAGCACACCCCCTATTGTGGCTTCTTCTTCATGGGACATCCTCTTGAGGCCCTATTCTGGGGGCTGAAAATATTCTGGATATTCTGGATTTTAATTTTTCTCCTGGGCCAAGCAGGGCCACTTGCTTTGTCCCCCTCAAGTGTCCCTAGGCGTCTAAGCTTTCTCCCCATTCCCAGCTCAGAGAGCTATGTCCCCAGGCTCTCCCCAAGCCCCCTCCTGAGCTGATACTCAGCTGCTTGGAATAGAGGTGGGAGGCTTGGGCGCCAGCCCCCAAAAAGCCAGAAATGATTTTTTCCAGATGGAGCTGGAAGGGGGCTCAGGGTTGAGCATGATGGGGTAGAGATGTTTGGGACCTATTTTACGTTAACCTTAAGTCAGAGAAGTGAAGTGAGAAGCCAAACAAATGCCAATGTGAGAGTTTGTGTCTGCTGATGGTAGCAGCAATAAGTGAAGTGCTGGTTAGGAAAGGTCAGGCAGAAATCTGGAAAGAAAGAGGGAAAGGAAATGTGACATGAGTTAGCAGAGCCCCTCCATATACCTTTCTTCTCCGTTTAATTGCAATAAAGCAAAAGTAGCTCGGGTAGCCTCTCAACCTCAGCTTAAAAGAGGAGTCACCAGCGCAGGCCTCGGAGGTATTTGGGGGCAGTTCTCAGCAGCTTAACATGCTCAATCTGGCCTCTTCCTCCTTTCCTCCTCCCTGCTGATTCCCCAGCTCCCTTCAACTGGTCAGCCCGGGCCCTGTCCCCAAAATATTAGCACCCCAAAATGGAATCAATTTCTGCGTTAGATGTGTCAAATTTCACTTCTCTCCATGCCTAAACTTTGAAAGGAGGAGTGTTCCTTTTTGGAATGTGGTGTGTGTAGGGGGGGCAGGTATGTGTTCAGACAGCTTCCCCCATCATATCTATGGGAAACTGAAGCCCCTTAGGTGAGCCATGCTTTAGTGTTCCCAAGCAGCATTCCCTGCATTCAGGTTCTCTGGCAGACCAGGAGGCTCTCTTTGCGATCTGATTCTTTGACTAGGAGTTCCATGGAGATCAAAGGAGCTTATTTATACACAAAACACCAGGCATTTGGAGTAGAATTTATTTTTAATTTCTAAATAAAAAAGTCTAATAATAGACCAATCGGGCCAACTAAACAGTCGCTCTAGAACAGCAAAGCCTTAACAAAATAGTGTGATTGTGAGGGGAGCTGAGCAATTACTGAAACTCGGCTTTCTCCGTAACAGGGATTTTAACCCTCGTCCAGTGGCACAAAAGGGGCCGGCGGGGCAACCGCTCTTCTCGTGCTCAGAAAAGTGAGAATTGGGGGTGGTGGGGGCAGGGTCGGGCAGCTACGGTCGCGTCCAGGCAGCTGAGCACCCAGGCCAAGCGCTGAGGCGGAGCACTGAGTCCTGCGGCTCCAGTGCTTGGGTCCCTGAGCAGCCTCCGCAGCCTCCGCAGGCACCGAGCTGTAGTTGCGGCGCAGCAGCCAGGAACGGAGTGTGTGTATCTGTGTGCGAGGGTGGGTGAGTCACAAACATCCGCGCAGAGTTGGGGGATCTGGGGAGAGAGAGGAAACAGAGAGAACACAACTCAGGGGGACCTCTGGAAAATATTGTCCCCTAATAAAAATTCCAGATCTCATCCCGCTCACTTCAAATATCCCTCCCCAAGAAATTAATATATTTCCCAGAGCTGAGTGGAACGCAAAAGTCAGCAAGGTGAGGCCTGCCCACGAACCTCTTCAGGCTGGGCCCACCCTTTCCCCAGTTCAAAGCTCACAGGCCCCCAGGCTTTCCCTGGCCTAAAGCGGAGTAAGGCTGGAGTGGTAGCTTTTAACTTGCCTAGGGAAATTCCCAAGTGCCCAGGCTGCAATGCCACCCTTATCCTTGGGGACTCCAGGCCAGTGACTGCACCCCACTCAGGTCCAAGGCGCAGGCAGTAAATTTCTCTCCTATAATTAGCGCTATCAAAAGCATGTGTTTTGCACTGGGGAGGACTGGAGAGGCAAGTGGCAACTTTTCCCCTGTATTCTTTTTGTGTGTTTTTTGAATTCTGTTTTTGAATCCACTAATTAAAGCCTCTCTCAAAGTGAAAATCTGCTCTTGACACCAAGCCCCTTCCGAATGCCTGATTTGGGAGGCCAAGGGGCCAGAGCAGCAGCAAGGAGACCTGCAAGCCTGATGGGGTTGGCAGGGGGGTAGTGTTCTCTGATTTCTCTAGGCTCGTTTTATAGAAACAAAGAACAAGTTCTCTCCCCTCCTTCCCAAGACTTGTGCATATTTACAGAGCACAACTGCAGTTTTAATAAAACATCTGTTCTTGCTTCTGCTGATGAGTTTCCGTAATTGTTTTCAGACAAATTTAACAGGAAAATATAAATATATTTAGAAAACTCTAAGTCCTAACTTTCCCCCTATAGACAGCCATTCTTTTGCCAAAAAAATAAAAAATAAAATTAACATGAAATGGGAAAAGGAAAATATAATCCAAAGGAGGGAAGATCGGGCTCATCTGACCTGCTCTCCCCCCTTGGAGCGAATCCTTTCAGCAAATTTCAGCTACATAATTAAAGATCTAAGAGAAAGAAGAGGGCTTCTTTCCTCAGGAATGAAAGGTAATGGAGGGGAGTGTGTTGAAAATTAATTTTGCCAAAAGTCTTTAAGCAGTGGAGGAATTTATTTGTATTTCTGTTTCCCCTTCTCTCCCCCTTCCAGCATTTCTGCCTTTTTCACCTAGCAGCTGGTTTCTGTTCATTATAAATCGGCGAGACCTTTCAGTCTCTGCCCTCTGTTTAGGAACGTCATAAAACACTTAACTTTCCGGGGCTGAGGCTCACATTCTGCTTCTCAGGTCACCAATCCCCCTGAGCCCACCGCCTTTAGGCCCCAATAGAGAATCTCTCCAACTTTGGGGCCCCTTTCCTCTCCAGACATGGTTGAGGAGGGGCTCAAGGAAACCTAGGCATCCTTGCTGGGGGCTGTAGTCCATGCTGCCTGGGAACCCCCTTCTTTCTTCCAAGGTCCTTCCCTCCCCCACCCAGACATAAAAGAGATTTTTAAATACATAGAAAATCAACACTCACTGAAAGCGAAACCTCATTAAGACATCCTATCTTCCATCATTCAATTTGTTGTACATTGCAACAATTTAATATCTTGAAGGAAATATCACTGACATGATTTATCCCTCTAGCAATCTCTTTCTCTCTGAAACTGGGGTGGTGGGGGGGACGGAGTTGCTCTCTCTTCCGGCCTCTTCTACTTGTTACACCATTACATTACCCTCAGGGCAGAAAGGAGGCTGGGAACTCTGAGACAGGCTACTTGTGTCCAGGGGTGCACTGACTTGTTCCCTAGCTCAGCCCCCAGAGTACTCCTGCCTTGTTGTCTCTCCCCCACCTCTTGCCCTCCAGGGGGCCTAAAACCTCAGCCAGCTGTTAGAAACCTCTGCTCAGGCATGCCATGAATTCGAGGACAGCTGGATTATAGGGCAAAAAGCAACTCACATTGGTGTCTATGTTTGTGTACCTGCCAAGTCACCCCAAAACGAGATAACTCATCTAAAATTTTTTTTTCTTAATTTAAAAATCTTCCTCTACCCTTTCCCCTTCATTTCCTTGGTGAGAAGAAAGTGTGGTCTAGGAGGAGGAACCTTTATAATTATAGGAGTCTTTCCCCTTCCCTTCCAAATACCGACAAATTTCTGTCCTTTCTATGGGATTGGGGCTGTATTTTTAAAAACCAATACATATTGTCTGACAGGAAGACTCTTCAACCCCCTAACGAGGTTCGTGTATTAACTAACGTGTTGTCTCCACCAGCTCCTGCACACTGTCTGCTTTTGGGTTCGAAACTTTATTTTTCCCTCCTAGCGACACTCCAGGGAAACCTTAACGTTACAGAAGATGAATAAACGAGTTTTTTTCTCGGCATAGTCCCGTTTATGGCTTTATTGCTACCCATTGATTACTCCGCTTTGTTACACAGAAGGAAAAGATCATAAAATCCCGCGACATCCGGGTTCTTGTTATAACCAGTTTTCCCCCCCCAACCCACCCAAAAATGGTGTGTGTGGGGGGGGAGAATATGAGCTTTCACTGCTCCCTGCACACTCCCCACTACCCCCCTTTGTCAACTCAAAGCATTTTCAGCCTATATCACGATATCAAATTAAGTTTGGACTAATCAGGAGAAAACCCCCATCTGCACACTTTCCGCTGTTTCAGTTCGCCTACTGTGGCTCTCTCAGAAGCCTGGGATTCAGCGGCCTTTCCGTAACCATCCCTTCCTTTTTTTTTTTTTAGCCTCAAGATGGGGGGAAAAATGGGGGTTGAGGCTGCTGAGAGGCCCATCCCCACCAGGGGTGATGGCACTTGGGTGAGAGCTCCTTAGAACCCCTTTCTGAAGTCTCCAAGCCTCATAGCTCAGGTCCAGGGGCGCCTCCACTGGCAGTGCCCTGAGTCTGGAGGGGGCAGGGGCTTCTGACCAAGGCAGGGGCTTGAGCTTGCAGGAAGCCAACTGTCCATCAGAGCCCCACCAGCCTTCTCTTTCTGGCTGGATCCTATGTGAATTACCCCACCGGCCCTCACTGGCTCCAAATCATAAATTCTCACCAACATAAACAGGAGTTGATGTCTCTAGAAAGATTCTCAGAGTTTTCGTTCTTCCTTTCTCTCTCTCTCTCTCTCTCTCTCTCTCTCTCTCTCTCTCTCTCTCTCTCTCTCTCTGTCTCTCCCCCTCTGGTGCCACCTCCCTACATTTTACTTCTTTTTTCTCCTTTTTCTATTGCATTTTTATACATTTGCCCTTTTAGGCAGAAATGCTGGAAGAGTTTTCCCAAAAGAGGGGTCCTGAGGAGGAGGCAGAAGGGAACCAGGAAGCAAAGGAGAGCAGATGCGTGGTCCGTTTGCCCACTTCAGCTCTGCCACTGTACCCTGAAGTCTTGCCCCTTTAGACCTAGTTGTTCCCCACATCCCTCCTACATTCAAGACTCTCAGCCACACTCTACTTACTCAGGGGAACAGGTTTTATGAAATTTCTTTCTACTTTTGATTTTTTTTTTTTAATTATTGGAGAAAAAAATACTAGTTTAGTGATGGGACTCACTCCATGGAGTGTCAAACCAGGATTTCCTGCAGGATTTCTGGGGACCCCCTCCTGTGCTGGGAGGGAGTTCCTCCTTCCTCCAATGGAGAAATCAGGATGTAATTTTACAAGGGGGCAGATATAAAAGATGAAACCAGACTGAAAATACAGGGATTTATCTAGCCCTGGCTCTGGCCACAGCACAGCAAAGTTAACTGGGGCTAAGAGATTTCCTGGGAGTACAGCTCTCCTTACCTAAGTCCCAAGGCCCTGCTCAGGTATGTGCACCCCTCTTTCACCACCAAACCAGTTCCCCTACATACATATTTTTAAAAGAAATCCAAGTCTTACTTTCAAAGCACACACTTAGTCTCAACTAGGGAATCAACAGAAGCAGAAGCGATTTTTTTCCCCCTTCTTGACATCTGGCTTGCGATTGGCTGGGAGGGGGTCAGCTGACTTTGTCATTTTGTCTGTCCTGGATTGGAGCCGTCCCTATAACCATCTAGTTCCGAGTACAAACTGGAGACAGAAATAAATATTAAAGAAATCATAGCCCGACCAGGTAAAGGCAAAGGGATGAATTCCTACTTCACTAACCCTTCCTTATCCTGCCACCTCGCCGGGGGCCAGGACGTCCTCCCCAACGTCGCCCTCAATTCCACCGCCTATGATCCAGTGAGGCATTTCTCGACCTATGGAGCAGCCGTTGCCCAGAACCGGATCTACTCGACTCCCTTTTATTCGCCACAGGAGAATGTCGTGTTCAGTTCCAGCCGGGGGCCGTATGACTATGGATCTAATTCCTTTTACCAGGAGAAAGACATGCTCTCAAACTGCAGACAAAACACCTTAGGACATAACACACAGACCTCAATCGCTCAGGATTTTAGTTCTGAGCAGGGCAGGACTGCGCCCCAGGACCAGAAAGCCAGTATCCAGATTTACCCCTGGATGCAGCGAATGAATTCGCACAGTGGTGAGTTTTACAGCTCCGAGATATAAATTAAATAAACTGAACTGGCTTTATGACCGGCTTCCCTAGAAGAACGGGCGGAGAGAGTTTTTTATGGCCCCATAAAAACAATCACGCTCGTCTCCTTGCCGAGACAGGGCCCCCTCTTCTGCCCCCTCAGCTTGCCTCCCGCTCGCTTGCAGGGGCCTGGCCCCCTTGGCCCCTGACGGATTGGAGGTCTCCAAGACAAGCTGAGGGGGCAGGAACAGGGCAGGGGATGAAGGGAGGGAGCAGAAGATGGGGGAGCCCCCCAAAGCGGAATCAGTCTGAGGAGAAGGGAGGGGGAGAGGAGAGGCAGAGAAGTGGGGAGAAGTTTCCAAGAAACTAGGATACTTGGGGAGATGGTGGAGCCCAGTCCTTGAGAAAGGGGGACCTCATCCCCATTATCTGGGATTTTTCAAAAATCAGCTTTTAGACTTGCAGCTTTCCGTTTGCCTTTTGCCCCGCCCCCCCACCCACCCCACACACCTTTCTTTGGGACACACACGTCCCACCTATGGGAGGTCTGAACGAAGTTGGGGTCCTGGCTGTACCCCCAGTGGGGGTGGGGCAGGGCAAACGGGAAAAGGCTAGAGCCCTAATGGGGCTGCGAGCTGCTGGCCAGGTTGGGAGGGTCAGGACTTTGCTAGGCGAAATAGTCTGCAGAGGACGCCTTGCTGATTGCTTTTAGTGTGTTTTGTGCCCGGATCTTTAGGGGTCGGCTACGGAGCGGACCGGAGGCGCGGCCGCCAGATCTACTCGCGGTACCAGACCCTGGAACTGGAGAAGGAATTTCACTTCAATCGCTACCTAACGCGGCGCCGGCGCATCGAGATCGCCAACGCGCTTTGCCTGACCGAGCGACAGATCAAAATCTGGTTCCAGAACCGCCGGATGAAATGGAAAAAAGAATCCAATCTCACGTCCACTCTCTCGGGGGGCGGCGGAGGGGCCACCGCCGACAGCCTGGGCGGAAAAGAGGAAAAGCGAGAAGAAACAGAAGAGGAGAAGCAGAAAGAGTGACTAGGACTGTCCCTGCCACCCCTCTCTCCCTTTCTCCCTCGCTCCCCCCCAACTCTCCCCTAATCACACACTCTGTATTTATCACTGGCACAATTGATGTGTTTTGATTCCCTAAAACAAAATTAGGGAGCCAAACGTGGACCTGAAAGTCAGCTCTGGACCCCCTCCCTCACCGCACAACTCTCTTTCGCCACGCGCCTCCTCCTCCTCGCTCCCTTGCTAGCTCCTTCGCGGCTTGTCTGCAGGCCCCTTTCCCCGTCCAGGCCTTGGGGGCTCGGATCCTGAACTCAGACTCTACAGATTGCCCTCCAAGTGAGGACTTGGCTCCCCCAACTCCCTCGACGCCCCCACCCCCGCACCCCGTGCAGAGGGCCGGCACCCGGGCCTGGGGCCTCTGCTTCGGGCCTCAGGGCCCGGCTTGGCAGCCGGGGAGGGCCAGAGGCCCAAGGAGGGCGCGCCTTGGCTCCACACCAACCCCCAGGGCCTCCCCACAGTCCCTGCCCAGCCCCTCTGCCCCAGCAAATGCCCAGCCCAGCCAAATTGTATTTAAAGAATCCTGGGGGTCATTATGGCATTTTACAAACTGTGACCGTTTCTGTGTGAATATTTTTAGCTGTATTTGTGGTCTCTGTATTTATATTTATGTTTAGCACCGTCAGTGTTCCTATTCCATTTCAAAAAGGAAAAAAGAGGGAAAATTACAAAAAGAGAGAAAAAAAGTGAATGACGTTTGTTTAGCCAGTAGGATAAAATAAATAAATAAATAAATCCCCTCGTGTTACCCTCCTGTATAAATCCAACCTCTGGGTCCGTTCTCGAATATTTAATAAAACTGATACTATTTTTAAAAGTTTATACCGGGAATTCTGTTAATTCGCTCGCCCGCCGGCCTCGGGATGAGAGCTGGAGCAGGCTCCAAGCGCTCCCGCGCCTGCCCGCCGCCTGCAAGCCCACAGCCCTCTGCACTCGCCATCCCCGGAGCCCAGGCGCCGGGCCCCGGCCTTCTGTTGGTTCTCGCGATCGCACTGAGGGCCTGGGAGGCCTCTCTGAGCTCCCTGCGCGGAGCAACACACACACCCTGCGGCAAAAAGGCCGCGTAGGATTTTGTTCCGGGGGGAGCCCGGATCAGTCGGCTTGCGCACCAGCTCCACGCAGGCCTTTCTTCCTGCCTGTGGCAGCCGGGATCCTCGGCGTCCGAACCCCGAGGCGCCCCGAAAGACCAGTAAAGAAGCACTATCCAGGCACCAGGGTCTCCTCCGCCCACTCCCGGGAGTTGGAGGCGGGGGGCGCCGTGAGAGCAAGCCCCAGGCCCGCGCCAAGCCGGCTGTTGCGAAACGTGGCGGAGGCGGAGAGCGGAGGGAAAGAGAAGATCGCGGGACTGGAGCCCTGTCGGCAGGGATTGAGCGATTCAAGGACATCTTGAGAGAGAAAGCCTGGAAACTGAGCTCTCGCCGGTTCTGGGACTCCTGACGTAGCCGGGACAAAATTCCTTCTTCATTACAGCTCCAGCCGGGCTGGTTCCTTACTCTTCTCTCCTCAAACGGGTGAAGAGGCGGGTGAGGAGCGCAGCCGGACCCTAACCATTTATCAACCCTGGCCTTCTTTCTCCAAGCCTGACCAGAGAAACCTGAGTGGGCCTACGGGGAGAGGTGTTGAGGGGGGTCTCCGGAGGGAAAAAATCCGCCAGAGTTTTCCAGGCCCTTCAGATTCCCTCCAGCACCCCCACCCTCGCCACCAGCGCCTCCACCAGTGAGGAGGGGGCCTTCTGGCAGGGGCGGAGATTTCCTGGGAAGAAGCAGGCGGGAAAGTATGAGATTTGGGGCTACTGGGGAAGAGGATGGGGCCGAATGGCTGCAGATACCCTGCGAAGGCTACCCAGGCGCCTGCCCTGCCCACCTCCCAGTCCGCCCCATTCCTCTTGGTAGCTCAGAAATTGCTCTCCTGTGGATCTTATGGATTCAGGTCCATGGAAAGCCTGGCCCAGAGACCTTTTCTCCAAAGGTCACAAAACGGGCCTTTTCCTCTGCCATGCTCACATAATATTTGTGGAGGCTTCAATCTTGCTTCTGCATGCCCTCAATTAACATCTATTTTCTGTCTAAAGCCTCTGGCATAGGTACCACATAAGGATCTCACACAGGGAGACAGAGCAGTCTTCTAGACCATTGTCTGCTCTGGCCGTGTCCACGCACACACTTGAAAATTGCCTTGTTGCCACTCTGGGGACCGTAGCATGGTGAGGTCTAGCCAACTCCACCTGGCTCCTCACCTCCAGATCCATCCCAGAGAGCCCGGAGCACCCTCAGCTTCATGACCCCACTATCTTGTTCTGACCACTCAGGATCCCTCCTCCTGGGCGTCCTGTCTACCTCTCCAGAGGCTAATTCTACTTTCTCTTGCTGATAGGCACCTCTTCAGCAGTAGTGGGGCCTTAGGGCCTGCGAGGGACTTCTACCTTTGGTTTAGGGAACCTAAGTTAAACCCCTAAGGGTCTCCAGCCTGGACATGGACCACCCTACCTAACTAAATCTCCTTTCCTCAGCCATTTTTGAAGATTGGAAGACCCTGGCGGTTGGGAGAACGGGGCTATTCATTACAAAAAGCACTCTGTGCATTATAGGTGGGGCCTCATCTTTTCCCAATTTTAAATAGAATTTAAAAGGCTAGCTCAGAGGTTGCTCCAACAACCAGCTTCTCCTTCACAGTGTAGGAAATTCAGCTACCGGAAAGCAAGCTGGTGCTCCAGGATGCAATTCCCCCATATAGGCACCAGGTGTCGCTGTGGGCTTGTTGTCCCGGCTACCCCCAATTCCAAGAACCATTTTTTTTCCTCCCCCTTCCTTCTTTCTCACTCCCTCTCCCCCTTGGTTGGGCTTTGCCAACATATCGAGATGCGTTTCGCCGGCTTCCATCACTAACCTCCCGGAGGTCATCAAGCCAAATTTATGAGTGGCCGCTCGAGTCACGTGACTCTATTTAAGGCTCCCTTATTTGGGAAGAGCGCATAGGATAAAGAAAGAGATATCTCCACCTATAAATTGTGCACTTTGGAGAACAAAAAACCCCTCAACTTCAAAGAGTCACAAATCACCCTTAATCAAAAAGGGTGCAGAAATTTTTTGGGCCCTCCCCGCCATGAGCTCCTACGTAGCCAATTCATTCTATAAGCAGAGCCCCAATATCCCTGCCTATAACATGCAAACTTGTGGGAACTATGGATCGGCCTCAGAGGTGCAGGCATCCAGGTACTGCTACGGCGGATTGGACTTAAGCATCACTTTCCCACCGCCTGCGCCTTCCAACTCTCTCCACGGGGTAGACATGGCTGCCAACCCCCGGGCTCACCCCGACCGCCCCGCCTGCAGCGCCGCGGCCGCTCCGGGACACGCTCTGGGCAGAGACGAAGCGGCTCCTCTGAACCCCGGGATGTACAGTCAGAAGGCGGCTCGCCCGGCGCTGGAGGAGCGAGCTAAGAGCAGTGGGGAGATCAAAGAGGAGCAGGCGCAGACAGGGCAGCCCGCCGGACTGAGCCAGCCACCGGCCCCGCCACAGATTTACCCGTGGATGACCAAACTGCACATGAGCCACGGTAAACTTTAGGACTTCATTTTGCGCGCTCGGGTCCGCCTGGGTTTTATAGGCCATGCGGGGCAAATAAAGAAAAAAAACCTGCGGCCATAAATTTTACGATCCAGGCATCAATGGCTCGTAAAACTGTCCACTAAAAGGCTTAGAGGCTGTGTGCGCCCAAATTTACGACGACATAATTGGATCATAGGAACAAAACGTGTATAAAAGGCAATATTCAATTTTTGGGGGAGAGGGAGGGAGTTAAAAAAATAGAGGGATCTGTAGGGTGAGGAGCGCGGGGCTCCAGAGCGGGGATCCCCCCGCTGCTCCCTCCCTCCCTCCCCTGCGGAGCCGGCTCCGCCGGCGCTCGCGGCTCCGGAGGATTCCAGCGACTCGGGAGGGGCGGAAGGGGGGTCCCCGGTGCTCGGATCTCGAGGGTGCTTATTGTTCGGTCCGAGCCTGGGTCTCCCTCTTCCCCCCAACCCCCCCTCAGCCCCTCCGGCTGCAGAGAGAAGGCTGCAGTGGAAAGTTTCCTGCCTGGGTGGAGGCGCCTCTCCCGGGGCTGGGCTGGGCCGGGCCGGGCCGGCCTGCCTGCGGCCCGCGGGGCCTGTCTTGCGGCTCTCCGCTCCTCTCCCTCCGGCCGCGGGTGGGGGTCTGGGGCTGGGGTGGGGATGGGGGAACGCTGCACGCTATTCACCCCTTCCTGGCTTGGGGTGGGGTTTATGTTCCAGAGACGGACGGCAAGCGGTCCCGAACCAGTTACACGCGCTACCAGACTCTGGAACTCGAGAAAGAATTCCACTTTAACCGCTACCTCACTCGCCGCAGGCGCATAGAGATCGCCAACAACTTGTGTCTCAATGAGAGACAGATCAAGATCTGGTTCCAGAACCGCAGGATGAAGTGGAAGAAAGATTCCAAAATGAAAAGCAAAGAGGCTCTTTAGACGCAGCGGGGCAGGCCCGCAGAGCGCGCCCCTAGCTGGTTCTGGTCCCTGCGCCTTTCCTTTTCGCCTTTCCTCTCTCTATATTTCGGGGCGAGGGCAGGTGCTGGAGCACTGGGCTCCCGGACCTCACAGACAAAAGCGCTTTTCCTTGGCATTACGCATCCCTACTGACCCAGGGTTCCCGCGGGGCTGCCCGCGCTGCCCCCATCTCCCCTCAGCTCGGCTCAACTCGGTACCCGAGGCCCAGGGCAAGCTCCGTAGGCCTTCCCCGGAGGGCTGCGGCGTACAGGCTGGCGCTGAACGAACCTTGGCCTGGGCCGTCTCTCCGACTCTTAGCCTCAGCGCGGCCCTCCCGAGTTAAGGTGGGCCCGGCCCGCGCCACAGGACCCTCGCCCAACCCTCTAGCCTCGCCCTCTCCTTTGTTCCCGGCTGGACGGGTTAGACAGCCGCAGGCTGGCGAGAGTCTGGCCCCAGACTCGGGGTGCTTCCTTGTAGCGACTAAACTAGATTTTCACTTGTAAATGATTTGCATATGAAAGGAGAACTTCGGTCTAGGGCCCCCACGGTTGCTCTATGCTTTCCAAACCTTATCTCCACAACCTCTTTCCCCCAAAACCCGGGAACCTCCCCAGCCTGCGCCTGCTGCATGCCCTCTCAGGCCGGCAGCCCCAGCCTGCTAGCTAGCTCAACTATTGGGGTTTCCTGACACTGGACCCCAGCAAGTGGTCCTAGAGGCCCTTTGCTGTCCCATAGTCCCTGCCACGACTTTCTGTGCCCTCCTGACCCATTGCTGTTGTCCAACTATTTATTGACTCTGGGTCCTTCCTGAAACTATATTTTGTCATATCAAATAAAGACGAAGAGAGAACAGGACTACAGATGCAGTGGCTCCTGTCTGTCTGGGGCATGTATTGGGTAAAATTGTCTAAATGGGCTGTGAGGTGTAGAAGGAGACCCACAAACTTTAAGCCTCCCCTTTAAAACATTTTCTAGCTTCTAGGGGCAGTGAGTAGAGCAAGGTGAAATTGAGTTCCTTTCCTGATCCTTGGCTGCAACAAGAGCCTCTGGGGGAAGAGAAGGGCACCTAGGCCTCAGGTACTGGCTTTTCCCATGCTGTGGCTGTCCAAGGCCTTCACACTTCTGCACTCCATGAGGCCTCTGGACTGGCAGCATCCCCCACTGTATGCCAAAGCTCCGGTGCAGGAACCAGTGGCTCCGCCGTGCTCAGCCTCAGGCCCTTCTGGGCTTCTGAAGATCTTTCCTGGGCCTAGGTGGTCCCTGAGAGGCCTTGCTGGACATAGAGGGAGGGCTAAGCCCTCACTCTAGAGACACATTTGGTCCCAGAAGGGCCTCTAGAGGGAGGTGGCATTGCTTGGTAAAGGGGTGTTGGGAGAGTTGGAGGAGGTGTGCTTCAGTATCTAAGATACTGGGGAAGAGGGAGCAGGGAGGGCAATCTGCAGCATGTATCAGCCTGGCAGGAAATGTTCAGACTGTTTCCACCACCTTCTAGGGCCTAGGGCTATGCAGGACAATTAACTGGGAAAGGAGCTGCATAGACCAATGCTGGAGTCACGTCTGTTTGCCATCATTTATCTCAGTCTCTGGGATTTTGTGTGGAGGAGAGGATGGGTTAAAGGTGGGGGTGGGAGGAGGCAGATAATTCAGGTAGTGTCTGAGGCTCAGGTCCTTCTCCAGGTTCCTGGGATGGGCTGGGGGAGGAAGCACTTTACAGTAGAAACAAATGTGGGAAGGGTCCATAAAACTTTACTGCATTTCCTCTCCCACCTCCCACAAGGGGGTGATTTCCCCCCACACTAGGCCCCCCACACTGGTGGGGTGAGGGTCTGGAGCTGGGCTGCAGGAGCAAGCAAGAAGAAAGGGGAGCAGAGAGGCTCTGGGGAGGGGCAAGGGAATATTTATGATTATTAATGCTGATGGTCCTTGGATTTATTATAAGTACTAACGTACGCTGCATCCCACTGCCTAAGCTACCCATCAGTCATTTTTTAAAAGACCCAAGAGCCTTTCCTCACCCCATGCTTGGCACATAGGCAGTCTCAACAAATGTTTATTGAACAGTGCCCACAACTGCCACCCTTCCCCTTCGCACTGCACTCAGGCCAGGTTAGGGCGCCTGTTGTCTCTCCTCAACTTGCACACAGCAGTCAACCCAGACCAGCTCTCTCTCTCTCTCTCTCTCTCTCTCTGAAATAAAATGTGTAATTTTCTTCAGGGAGTTATTTTAATTTTTTCTCCATGCTGAGTAAAACTATTGGGCGAGCAGTGAAGCGTGGAGAAGCACTGGCGTCTCCGGTGGGTAACAGTTAACTAAAAAAGAGGCTGTGGTGCCCGCATCCGCCCGCTCCAGCCTCCCAGGCTGCCCAGGCCCTGTGCTTCCTCCCCAGGGGACAGGTGTAACAGCCCGGGGGAAAACCAAGGGCTTTGCCATGGATGGGGGCAACGTTGGTTAGAGCTGCCAGGCAGGGCACACCAGCCCCACCGTGCACTGACTGCCTCCTCCCGGCAGGGTTTGGGCCTTTCCTTCCCTGGAGGAGCTGAAGGTCTGACTCATTTTGGCCAGGCTTGGGTGGACACAGAGTGTCTGCCTGCTCTCCTCCTTCCTGTCACAATCTGCAGGTCTGCCCAGGCCCCAGCCTCGGCTTCTGCGGCATCGGCATCAAGGGCGGCAACCAAGCCAGAGGCCTCGTACCTACTTCCCTACACTGGGGGTGTGTAAGGCCCAGATCCCTGATTTCTCCCTGAACAGGGGCTTCTGCTTTGGAACCTGCGGTAGTTTCCCCACCTGCCAGCCTCCTAGAACATATTTCCAGGTACCAGGGTCTGGCATTGCTCTGGGGGAGTTCATGGAGGGGGCTTCTGGGTTCCAAACAGAGACCATGGAGCCTGCCTATCCACTTTGCCCTGGAACCCACCCCCTCTGGCAGCGAGAAAGAAGGGGAAGAAGCATGACTTACCTTCCCGGGGGAGTGGGAAGAGGGGGGACACGGCCCACTCTGAGCAATTAGAGGAGAGAGGAGGAAAAAATAAGAGGACAAAAATATCAACACGACCTCGAAGGCGACAGGTCCTTATGGAAATAAGTAAATAAATAAGGATCTACCCTCTCCCCGCTCTCCACCCTGCAAGGGGGATGTGGGGGTGGGGCAAAGGAACAGCACCAGGGCTTTTTAGTGTAACTGAGCATTAGAGAAATAGGCATGGCTTCTATGTGAATTTAGGAGTTTGAAACTTTTGGAGGTTATTTATGTGAATAGCCTGAAGGCAAGCCCGTGAGTGGCTCTTGGGGGACCACGTGATATCATTAAACCAAGTTTTATGGTGTAGGGAGAGCTGACAAACCCACAATATATTTACATCATATATAATCTTAACTGTCCAGCCACGCAGCTGCTGGTGAGGTTTAATGCTAGGACAGAGGGCCTGGCAGTTAGAGGGGATTACGGCGCTGGGGACGATGGTGAGAGAGGTTACATCTTCGCAAATGAATCCCAGGCGAACGCTGTGAGTTAATTCTCTTTTTCTCTCTCTCAGACCCTTTCTCCCATTTACCTAGCCACCCATCTCACTTGATAGAAGGCAGTTCCCACTCATTAGGAGGAGGGGAAAAGGCCTTCTCAGGCTGGGGTGGGAGAAGAAAAGAAGCCGAAGAAGCCGCTGGAAGTAGGAAGATGGGGGAGCTTGTCTACCCAGAGCATACCTCCCCTTCCCACTCCTTATTCTCTCTGACTGCAAGTCAACTGGGGTAGAGAGGCCTTGGTTGTTTAGAGTTTTGTCAGGTCTTCCTGACCCTTTCAGTTGAGAAGAAAGCAAGCGGCAGCAACAAGGGTGTTTGGTGTCTGTACGGGTATGTAAACTCCAGACACAAGTTCGAAATGCCTCTGGGGCCCCCTGTTCCAGCGAGGGGTGAGTTCAGCCCTTGGCCAGTGGCCCAGAGTCCACGCAGGGTGGGAAGCTGGGGAGAAAGGCAGGGAAGGAGGGTTTTGTGGCTTCTAAGCCCACAGGCTACTGCTGCCTGAACTGGCAAAAGCATCCCAAAGGTAGCTGTTTGAACCCAGAGGTCCCAGAGTGCCCCCTCCCTCCCTCATCGCCAGGTTTGGATGGGCAGCTGTCTCATCCTCTGTAGTTTGGCATCTTAGTCCGTCTGGAGCCAGTGTGGTTTCATGCTTCCTCCTCTCCCTCTAGCTGCTTGGGTCTTCCTGGCATTCCCAGCCCTTGCCTCAGATAAAACTAGGCCCTAAGAGCCCTAGAGGTTCCTGCTGTGAGTGGAGTGTAATTGTGTGTTGAATGGGTGAGGGAACAGAGGCAATGTCTTTGCTAGGCTGGGAAAGTAAGTCCCCCAGCCTTAAGGACAGAGTAGCCCCTCAGGGATGGAGCTGGCAGGGCCCAATCTGAGCACTGCACCCTGGGGTCAATCCTAATGCTAGGGCGCTCTTCAGGTTTCTAGGAAGGAGCAGCAGGAGCATTGGGCATGAGAGGTACGTGTCTTCCACACCTGCGAGTGCTATCCCTCCCTGTGCGTCACTGGGAGCTAAGCCAGGAAAGAGACAACATGTGAATTCAGGCTCCTGTACTGGCCAGCCATGAATAGCCAGGGCTTTGGAAGCAGGGCTGAAGGCCAGGGACCCATAAGGGCAACTCCTCCAGGCTGGGAGAAAGGGGTGGGGAGCAGAGGGATGGAGCTAGATCTGCACCTTCCAGAAGGTGGGGCATGCCTGGGGAGCAGGGGTGTCTGGGCGCCTGCTTTGTGAAAAGGTGCTGTTGGGGGATGAGGAGGGAATGCTGTTAGCCTCGCCCCTGCTGCTCAAGGGACTGAGGAAGAACCAAGAAGCAGGCAGACTCTGGGAGAATGAAGCGGGTACAGAGGCCCAAATAAATGGATAGTCTTAGCTGAGCCCCATCCTTCAGTCTAGGGGTCTCTCACTTGCATGAGGAGCTCGGGAACCCGACATGGAGGATTCCCTTGACGCCATCCCTCAGGGCGTCAGTCTCGGCCAAGATTCAGCCTCCCCCACCCTCCTCCCTGATACCTTTATTTCCCTAGGATCACAGGGAATTCTCTCCAGCAACGCATTGGAAAAAACTAATTACCAGTTTCTCCCTTCCTCATTACCCGTCCTTCTTGGCTCACTCCTTCCCTCTAGTCTGTGATTTTGAGGGTTTCTGGAAACTTTCCTATCCAAGCAGCAGGGAAATGGGAGTTTCTCTTGGTCTGTAACTTGACTCTTTCCCTCTCTCCAGCCCCCCCAGGGCTCTGGGGAGCGAGTGCAGTGGTCTTTAACGGGGAATTTAGCCAGGGCCGAAGTCCCACATCCAGGCAAGACTCCACCCTGACACTTGCCCTGACTCCCGGCCAAATCTCAGTCCCATTCCCTTCCTCTCTGTGTAGACGGGCATTCGAGGGTGTTTAAAGATTTACACAGCGTCCCTTGAGCCCTTTGATGACTTCTTCACCCCCTTTTCTGTTCTTTAGGCTCAAAAGTTCCATTTAAATACCACCCCTCTTCCTGTGATAATTGATTCTCCTTCCCCTCAAATAGTTTGCCTCAGCTTTTTACTGTTTTGTAAAAACAGTTTCAATTTCCACCTGGAAACAAGGCAAACACAAAGGAGGCCTGAAATTCTTGGTTTTCCCACCCACTACCCCAAACCCGAATTTGGAGTCCCTCTGGATCGGAGGAAGGGCAGGCAATCAGGTGCCAAGCTTTCCAGCCAACCCGGAAAGCTTTTAATTTTGTTCCTAGGTCTTTAACCCAAGGAGAGGTCAAGCAACCAATCAGAAATGCACTAAGCAGGGTCACATGGTCCCCATCAACCAATCAGCAAAAAATACTTGAGTCTCTGTCTCGCTTTTCCCCTCTGGCCCTGTTCCTTCCTCCCTCCCTCCCTTCCCACCACAGCCTTAGCTCCTGGGTTTACCCTATCTCAGATTTGGAAGCCTGGAGTGATACCCAGCATATTCTGGCCTCCTCTCTCAGTCCCTGAACCATCTCAGGAGTCTTTGGCTTGTCTCCTCAATTTCTTACAAAGTTGTATCTGGGAGTCAATCTCAAATGCACAAGGATGTGAAGTTGTGGGGGCAACCTCTGGATTATTCCCACATTCGCCAGCGTGATTCTACCCAGTTTTCTGGGTGTTGTAGTTGTAGACTCTAAATTAGACTATAGAGCAAATGCGGATATGAACTCCAGCCCTAAATTCAAATTCTGGCTGTGATTATTCCCCATACACTTAAACAAGTATTCACTCTTCTGATTTTCATGAGGGCGGGTGGGGTGATTAGAGGAGAGGACTTTTGATTTATCTTTCTGGAAATGCTCCAATAGCCATTAGCTGTATCAGACTGCCTCAGGCTGATAAAGTTAGGAAGGGAGCAAAAGTGGAGTTTTTTTTTAAAGTTGTGTTTGGTACCTCTCGTTTGTCAAATAACTTTGAGCTAGTTAAGGGTTCTGGAAAGGAATGAGCACAGAGAATTCCGACTTTCCTCACTCTCCACATTAAATAGTTGATGGATTTGTTTAAACCCCTTCCTCTTCCATTCTTTTAACAGGATATAATAATAGTAATAATAATAATAATAGACTAGGTGATGATCCTATGTCCTGGCCAATAGCCATCAAAAGGTACAGCTACTGAAGGTGTGGATTTCAGTGTTTGAGTTTACATGGATTAGACCAAGAACAAGCAATAGGCGAGAAACTATTGCTGAGTAAGAGCATCTGAGGCACAGGGAGTGCACATCTATGACAGAAATGCTTGTGTTTCCTGAACACTTGGGCTGGGCCCTGAGCCAGTCCACTGCTGGGTCCAGACCCGGGCATTCTCCCCCAACTCCTTCTCCAGAGCTTTGTTTCAGAGTGAATTTTCTGGTTGGGTTCTCCTCCACTTCTCTTCCTGATCTCTTGCCCTCTTTGAGCTAAGGGGCAGGAGTTCTGATGGACTGTGCCACCTGGACCTCTAAGCCCTCCCCTGGGGGCGTTAAGAGCACAAGAATGGGAAGGATAGTCTAGACTGAGCTGGAGTTTTTCAACACCCCACCTCCTTGTTTGTCTTCTGGGTGGAGCTGGTTTGGGGACAATGCCACAGGCCAGTTGGGAAGGATAAGGATGACAAGCCAGAAAAAGAGCAGCTCTTCTCAGAAGTCATTGAGCCCTCACTTCCCAAGTTACCTTCAACCACACTGCTCCATCTGCCTCTTTTGAGACTAAGTTTTGCTCTTGTCGCCCTGGCTGGAGTGCAATGGTGCAATCTCGGCTCATCGCAAACTCTGTCTCCTGGGTTCAAGCAATTCTCCTGCCTCAACCTCCGAAGTAGCTAGGATTATAGGTGCCCACCACCACACCCAGCTAATTTTTGTATTTTTGGCGGAGATGAGGTTTAATCATGTTGCCCGGGCTGACCTCAGGTAATCCACATGCCTCAGCCTCCCAAAGTGCTGGGATTACAGGTGTGTGCCACCACGTCCAATTTTTTTTTTTTTTTTTTTTTTTTTTTTGAGACGGAGTTTCACTCTTGTTGCCCAGACTGTAGTGCAATGGCAGGATCTCAGCTCACTGCAACTTCTGCTTCCTGGGTTCAAGCAATTCTCCTGCCTCAGCCTCCTAAGTAGCTGGGATTACAGGTGTGTACCACCACGTCTGGCTAATTTTGTATTTTTAATAGAGACAGGGTTTCTCCATGTTGGTCAGGCTGGTCTCAAACTCCTGACCTCAGGTGATTTGCCTGCCTTGGCCTCCCAAAGTGCTAGGATTACAGGCATGAGCCACCGCGGCTGGCGCCATTTTCCTCTTTTATGAGTTAGAATTAAAGGACACATTTATTCTTCCCCAGTGAATGGTGTGGCAGGTTGTTGGAGACCAACTCTCCCCTCAGTGTGGACTTCTCACACTGGGTACCAGTTCTCATGAAGAGTTAGGAAACAAAGATGGGGGAGATTGGTTCTATCCACACAGGCACTGGGAAAAGAGATTTTATGAGTGCCTCGACCCCTCCTAATATCTAGGTAAACTTTCTCCTTTTGACTATCGCTCTTCTTCCATAACTGCTTTGGATTGAGTTTTTGAGAGGGGGAATGCCGAAACATCATTGTTCTAGGATTTAAATTAGGTCTTTTTTGCTGAGAAGGCAAGTACCACCACCCTGAGCCTCTTCTTTAGTGGGACTAGGGCCCCTGAAGCCCTTTGAGGTAAAGAAAGAAAATCTGGAATCAGGATGCCAAACTAGGGTTTTGGGGTGAGGGATTCAATTTAAGGAGAAGACAAGGCTATTTGAGAGCCAAGAAAGTCACATCCTTTCCTACCCCTCCCCACTTTTATTGGCTCCTTGTGACCCATATTGGTGTGTCTGTTCTGATAATATCTCCGCTAGCTGCTTCGATGGGGCCCAGGAACCCAAGGAATTGCCAGACAAGGTCTGGGCTGAGGAACTTGGGTGATACAGATCTCTTTATTTTTGAGCCCTACACAACCCTTGTAATCATCTCCCTCTCCCAATCCGAAGGTTCA